TCTTTATTCACATGAACATTTAGAAATTCATGAGCTCAGCCACAGTGGCATAAGCCATAGGGAACCTCATGAAGCTGGGATCACATGGGATATCTGAGTTCTGATAGATGCAGTGTGTACCTGTAGTCTTAGCTAACTGGGAAGCTGGGACAGAGGACCAGATCTCACACTAGTGAGATCTTGGTCCAAAACGTACCTGTCTCTTTCTTTTTCTTTCCTCCTCCTATGTCCTATCTTTTAAAACAAAACAAATAAAAACAAAAGGAAAAACACAGCTATTATATCTACTTGAAAATTTTTGTCTACTCATTATATCATATGGATTATCTCACGGTCAATTGATTTTCTTTCCTTTTTCTTGTGCATCTATAGCTAGTAATTTTGTGTTATATCTTGAACATTAGGGATTTATTATGGAAATTCTTGATATTGTTACTTTCCTTTGGAGAATGTTCTGAGTATTTACTTCTTGCTATGTATAAATGTAAACTTAGTGGCTTAAAACAAGGGCAACATTTAATTACTTATTGACCATTAAGGATGTACTGTGCTTGCTAGGGACAGTTTGTTTCTTATCTTCTTGGTGTAAGCTGGGGCAACTGAAATCTGTGGGTCAGAATAATCTGAATATTAAATGTTAACTTACTCTTAAATCTCATAGTCGAATGCTTGCTGTTTGTGACCTTAGTGATATGACTAACCTCATAATATGATGGCTATTTTTTAGAGAATGAGAGAGAAGGATAGAGATAGAGGAAAGGGAGAAGAAGTTGATGAGGAAGGGGAGAGAGAGGGAGAAAGAGATTGGTTGAGAGATAGCCAGGCTGAAGTCATACCACTTTAAATAATATTTTTGTTTTTAATGCTCTTGGTTTTCTCATGGAATAAATTCAGGCGTATAATACATAAAGGGAAAAGACATAAAATAATTATATAAATGACTCAAGACACACAGATTTCTAAGAAAGTCTTATACTTTCTATCTTTTTGTTTCAGGCATAGCTAAGGAGCTTTTACCAAATATTCTAACCAGCTATTTAAAATATAATTTCAGAATTCTTAGATGTTATAAAAATGACTGAGTAGAACTCCAAGTATGTGTAGAATCACATTATGTTTCAAAATGTATAAGATGGTTTATTAATATTATTTGAAGAGATCCGATCAGCAGATGATGTGGTGATTAAGGTGTTGGATTCCCACCTGGCTGACTGCAGCTTGAGTCCCAGATCTGGCAACTTGAAAATCATGCCAGGTATGTGTGTGTGCACGCCCAAAAAATCCCAAGAAGAGAATGGAGAAGAAGGGATTATGGAAGACCATCTCCGCTGGGGAGATAATTTTTCATTTTCCCTCTCTCTTTCTGTCTGTCTCTGTAAAGTACACATGTCCTATGGGAAAAAAAAAGAAAAAACAAACCCAAAAACAAAAAAAACACACCAAAAACCCAAACCCCAAACCAAAACAAAAAAAACTAAGGAAAAAAAAGTAAGGAGATCATGCTATTTCAAGTATATTTTCCAACCACAGTTGAATAAAACTTGAAATTAAAAATAACAAGAACATGGGAAAATTCACAAGTACATGGGAACCAAATAGTGTAGTCTTCAACAACTTTGTATTAAGAGGACATAAAAATGAATCTAAAAGTATCTTGAGACAAGTGGAAACAAAAATATAAATGCTAAAATTTATTAGAAACAACAAAAATCATTTTAGTGAGAGAAATTTATAACAATAAAGAACTATATATAAAAAAGGAAGAGGGGCCCTCCAATAGCATGGTGGTTAAGGCACTGGAGATTATTCCACAGGCTGACTTGGAGTTTGAGTCCTGAACCCAGTTGCTTGAAAAATATGAGTGCCTGTGCATGTGTGCCCAAAATCCAGAAAGGAGAATGGAAGAGAATAGATTGTGGCATGGTCATCTCCACTGGGTGGTGCTTTCTCACTTTCTCTTTCTCTCTTTCTTTCTCCAGAAAGAGCATGTGCCCTAAAGCAAATTAAAAAAAATAAAAAAAACAAGAAGGAAGGTCTCAAATAAATAGCTTATCTTTGCATCTTAAGGAACTCGAAAAAGGGCAAATTAAGACTAGTATTATTAGCAGAATGAAAGAAATAATAAAGATTAAACCTAATAGAGAATAGGAAAACAACAAAACTAAAAGTGAGTTTTTTTTTCAAAAGGTACACAAACCCAATAAACTTTTAACTAGACTAAAAGAGAAGACTCACATACATAAAATAAGAAATGAAGGTAAAGATATTACAAAGAATGTCTCAAAAATAAAAAGGGTCATAAAGGACTTTATAAATAATTATATGCCAACAAATTGAATGATGAGAAGAAAGGAATACATTTCTAAAAACATACTCCTCAGTAAAACAGAATTAAGACGTATTAGAAAGCTTGAAATGATAAAGAAAAAAGGGAGATTGAATTTGTAATCACAACCTTCTCAACATTGAAAAGATCAGGAACAGATGAATTCATGGATGCTGTCTATCAAACATTCGAAAGATAATTAATAGCATTCCTTCTAAGACTGTTCTGAAAAAAAGAAAAAAATAAGAGAAAGTTTTTCCCCATTTTTTGAGGCCAGCATAATTCTGATATCAAAGCCCAACAAAGTACCATAGAAAAGAAAGCTGGAGACTAGTATGCCTGGTGAACATATATGCAGAAATCCTCAATAGAATACTAACACAGTAGGTTTAGTATGGCTAGCAATAAGTTACTAAATATATCAAAACACTGAAAGAGAGGATTTTGAATATTCCCAAAACAAAGTAATAATAAATGTTGGAAATGATAAATAAGTCAGTTACCAGATTTGATCATGTACTGAAAGAGCACACTGTACCTGCATAAATATGTACAGTTATTATATATCATTTAAAATTCATTTAAGGGCCCGCAGGTGTCATAGTGGTTAAGACACTGGACTTCTACATGGCCCACTGTGGTTTGAGCACTGGACCCCGTGACTTGAAAATCACGTTGGGTGCATGTGCATGTGTGCAAAATCCCAGGAGGAGAATGGAGAAGAAGGGGTTGTGGTGTGGCCATCCCTTTTGGGAGGTGATTCCTCACTTTCCTTCTCACTGTTTCTCTGTCTCTCTTTGTTGAGTGCACATGCCCTAAGGTAAAAACCTTTAAAAATAATAATTTAAAGGATATTTCAAAGGGCCAGCAGATGGGCATAATGGTTATGTTGCTGGACTCCCGCATGGTCGACTGTAGTTCGAGTCCTAGATCCAGTGGCTTGAAACTCATGCTGGGTACGTGTGCTTGCATTTCCAAGGTCCCGAGAGGAAAATGTAGGAGAAGGGATTATGGCATGGTCTTCCCCTCTTGGGTGTGATTTCCCACTTTCTGTCTCTTTGGCGGGTGCATGTGCCCTATAGCAAAAATCTTAAAAAATACATTAAAAATTATTTTGGCCATTATTCAACAAACAAAACCACTGTACTAGACATTCTTTTTTTTTGGAGAGATTTTCGCTATAGGGCGAGTTCGCTTGTCAGACAGACAGAGAGAGACATTAGAGACAGAAAGCGAGAAATCACCCCCCAGGGGGGGATGGTCACGCCACAATCCCTTCTCCTCCTTTCTCCTCTCGGGATCTTGGGCACACATGCACATGCGCCCTGTGCAAGTTTTAAGCCACTGGGTCCGGGACGCAAACTGCGGTCGACTATGTGGGAGTCTAGCGACATAGCCATTACGCTAACTGCTGGTTCCTTGTACTAGACATTCTAACCAGAGAAGAAAGACAAGAAAAGAAACAAAAGTTATCTAAATCAAAAAGAAGTAAAATTACTTTCTTTACAGATGACATGATTTTGTATGTACAAGACCATAAAAACTAAACAAAAACTGTTATTTATAATGATCTAATTCAATAAAGTTATAAGATACAAAATAAACATACAATAAAAATGATATTCATACACCATAAACTATTCCATTCATTGTGGCAACAAAAAAAATAAAGTACTTAGAAGTAAATTTAACCAAGAAGTAAAAAACTTGTACCCTTAAAATTATAAAACATTGATGAAGAAATTTAAAGAAGATACAGATAAATGAAAAGACATACTGTGTACATAAGTTGAGAAGATTAATATTTTTAAAATGTCCTTCTACTAAAGTGATTTGTGGTATCAATGCAATCCCTATCAAAATTCAATGTCTTTCTTCTCAGAAGTAGAAAAAAACAGTCCTAACATTCATATGGAACCACAAAATTCATGGTTAAAATTTGACTATCAATTGGAGTAGTCAATGGAATTTTGAGTGAGAAGCATCAGTCACTGTGAATAGAGACATAGACCACCTTTCTTGATTTAATTAATTGTTATTATTATTAATTTTTTTAGGAGAGGTTTTTGCTATAGGATGTGTGCACTTGCAAGAAAGAGAGAGACAGAGAGACAGAAAGTGAGAAATCACCCCCCAGGGGGGATGGCCACGCCGCAATCCCTTCTCCTCCCTTTCTCTCTTGGGATCTTGGGCACCCACGCACACACGCCTGGCGTGACTTTAAACCACCGGGTCTGGGACTCGAACCGCGGTCGACTACATGCAAGTCCAGCAACATAGCCATTTTATGCCCACTGTTGGTCCCTAGTTATTATTTTTTAATAGGCAAGTTCTGTTTTATGTTTACTTCTTTTCCACAGGGTTGGGTCAATCCTACCATTTATAACATGCACTGAGAGTGGGGGGGATCTGCTGGTTCCTCAAAAGACAACGTGCATTCTTTTTCTACATATTGTGCAGATCTACAAGTATATAACAGTTTTATGGAGGGATGCAACACAACAAAAACAAGATATGTACATTTCAAAGTGAGAAGGAAGACAAGGAATAGAAAAGGAGGGAAGAGAAAGGAAAATCTTTCAATTGTAGATAAATATTTTGAAATTAAAGCCTCTGTTGAGAAGATTACATAGACCTAGTATCATATCATTGAGGCTATCACATGGACTAACTTTCATGTTTTCAATAAATGCTGTTGTTTGCTCAGGACTTTCTTCACAGCTTCTTTTACTTCTTTATTTCTAAGGCTATAGATGATGGGGTTTAACATTGGGGTTATAACTCCATAAGATAGTCCTATGATCTCGTCAGATGTATTTGTTTCCTTTGACTTGGGCTTCATGTACATAAAAAGGGCTGAACCATAGAATAAGATGACTACTGTCAAGTGGGCTGAACAGGTAGAAAAGGCTTTCTTTCTCCCCTCAGCAGAATTAATTCTCAGGATGGAAGAGAGGATGAACACATAGGATATGAAAACTAACAATAGAGGAATTACCAGTATAACGAAATTTAGCAATGTCATGATAAGCACATTGATGGTGATATCTGAACAAATTAGTTTTAGAAGGGCTAAGATCTCACAGGTAAGGTGATCAATGATGTTATGCCCACAAAAAGGCTGTATCATTGTCAGGACTGTTTGCAACATGGAAGTCAGACAGCCTATGACCCAGGACCACATAGCCATGTGCACATATAGCACCCTATTCATGATGATGGGGTATCTCAGTGGATTACAGATAGCCACATACCGGTCATAGGCCATCACAGCCAGGAGGACACACTCAGTGGAGCCCAAGCCAAGAGAGATCACCATCTGCAGAGCACAGCCAAGGAAGGAAATGGATTTTCTTTTTGACATAAAGATAATAAGCATTTGAGGGATAGATGATGATGTGTAACAGATGTCCAAGAATGAGAGGTTTCCAAGGAAGAAATACATAGGAGTGTGGAGGCGAGAATCCAGGATGCTGATGATAATGAGAAGGCTATTTCCTAAGAGAATTACCAGGTACATAATGAGGCAAAACACGGACAGAAAAAGCTGGAGCTCTGGGTATTGGGAAAGCCCCACCAGAAAGAATTCAGTCACGGCAGAGTAATTTCCTATCTCCATTTGTCCATGTCACCTACAGGGTTAGAAAAGGACATGACCCAGGAAAATTAAAATTTCTAATGTAGATTTTCAACACATTCACTTCCACTATTGTGTTTAATTCTTAGGATGCTCCTAGAAATAGAAAGGGCAGAAATATTATACTAATTATATGGATGATGAAAATGAGGAATTGAGAAATTTGGTATGTCTTAGGACTACACAGCAGCATGATCAAAACTCTCAGCACTCCAAGAATTCATCTGGGAAGTGCCAAATAAAATATAGGAACTTTCCAATGTATCCTTAAACCTAGATATAACTTTTGTAAGTTGCTTAGTTTTTCTGAATCTCAGGTTAACTTATAGTAAATTGGAAAAAAAGCAATAATTATTTATTAGAGTATTATTAAAATTCAAAGCTAAAAAGTTAAGTGGCTAGAACAGTAGATGATTCTTACATGAGGTATGTATGATTATACTGGGCTGTTGGAAAAGTCATGATGCATTTTTATATAGAAAAACATGACATGACTTTTCCAACAACCCAATATTTACTTTATGTAATATAGTCATATACTGTGTATATGTATGTTATCTTATATTTTTATGAGTTATGGTGTATTTTTAGATCTACCTGACTTTCTTAAAAGGAAATAAATATTAATGGCACAAAGAGGTGTGGTATTATCTGTTGAAGATATTTCGTAGTTTTATCAACAGTACTAGGGAGAAATGTTCACCTGTTTAAATATCCATTTTGTAAGACAAATAATAATGTGATTGAATGTATGGAAGAAAATGAAATGAAAAAATAATAAAAAAATTAAAAAAGGAAGTAAATGATTAAATTTCTTATTATAAGGAAATTAAAGTTTGAAACTTCAATTGACAGACTATGAACATTTTAGTCTCAGTGAGGATCATATAACTGCTCCTCTTTCAAAAACTTAATAAAAGTCTGAGGATCATTGGGGGATTTCTCTTGAAGTTTCCAGAGACTAAACAGTCTAGGTCTCAGTATAAAGATTGTTCCAGGACTTTGAATTCTTCCTCAAGTTTAATATTTTCCCCATTTTACAAGGGAAACAAAGATAACCAGTTCTGAAGGTAAGATTCATCTTGCTCCAGAATCAATCTTTTTTTTTTTTTTTTTTTTCCTATAGGGCATGTGTGCTCATAGAAGAGAGATCAAGAGAGGGAAAGTGAAAAACCACCCCACAGCGGGGATGGCCACAGTGCAATTCCTTATTCAGTGCCGTGACCACCATGCCACCTTCTGGCCCAAGAGTTAGTCTTAACCACTATTCTATTCTAACTGTCATCGATCACTTTACCGATTCTAAGCAAGAGAAGACTATCACGAAGATGTATTTTCTGTTTTACACGGAGATAGCAAACATCATTATGGTGGTCCTGGTTATATGTGATGTGCTGTAGAATTCTGAACTCTGGATTACTTACTTTTTCCTGTAGCCTTTGGAGTGTGGTCTGCTCAGTTTTCCATGTGTAGAAGGCTATTTCATTATGAAAATTAGCATGATCAAGGGTAATATGAAAGTTCTTACCATCGCTTTGCTTTTGTTAATTGCATGTCTAAAATCCCTAGATTCTAGTCATATCTAGAATTCTAGACATGTCTAGAATCCCTGTCATCATTCTTTAAATATAAATACAGTGTAATCTTCAATGACTCTGCTGGCATTAACTGCTTTTTCTAGCCTAATTAATTGTTCCTTTTGAGAAACCCCTCCCATTTATTAGCACCACATCATTGAAAATTCAATGTGCTCCATTTGTTTCATGTTCATTGTGCTAATATGTTTCAGCATCATGTTAAGATAAGAGGCCATATATAGAAGGTTGTGTCTCATACTTTAAAAAAAATTTTTTTTTATACTGTTGCTGTGGTAACCTATATTTTCTGGGCTCTGATTTAGAACTAAAATATTTCATACTGATGTTATTCTGACCCCACATCCATGCTTTTTTTTTTTTTCTTTCCTTTTTGTATCCAGAGATAATAGAGACAGAGTCAAAGCTTACTTGGGTGCATCACAGATTGCAGTGCTTCTGGTTTCATTTAAGGAAAAGAATTTTCCCCTCATTCTCTTCCTTATCATTTATTTTCTTATAAAGTACTACATAGACAGTGATTTGGGGAAGACTAAAAAAAAAAATGCTGGGCCCAGTTGTGTGAATGCACATTAGGTGACACTGTTACTTGGAAGGCTGAGGCCACATGGAAAACTTGTGTTAGATTCCTGGCCAGTCTTAAAATCCAGGCACTATGGCATGTGCCCATGGTTCCAGCTATTTGAGAGACTGAGGCAGAAGATTATAGCAACACTCTATATGGAAAAAGAGAGATATGATGATGATACCAATGTTAGTTGTACTTCCTTTACTGTCTCTATTTTTATGGTGCGTGGACTCATTTCTCCAAGGGGTCAGTTAAAATAGCTGTTTTAATTTGATAGAGCACAGTTGTGTTAAGGTAGAAGCAGGTGGAAGGAGAAAAAAATGAAGAGGAAAAAAATGAAGGAAGAATGTTTGTTGAAATTTCTGTTCAACCAGTAGCATGGTGGTTAAGGTGGCTGGATCTCACATAGCCAACAGCACGGTTTGAGTCCCAGACCCAGATGCTTGAAGAACACACTGCAGTTAGGTACTCGCATGCACCAAATCCCAGGAGGAGAATGAAAGAGAAACAATTGAGGTGTGGTCAGCCCTCCTAGGGATTTGGGGGGCTTTCTCACTTTCTCTCTGTCTCTTTCCAGTGAGTGCACTCACACTCTAGCAAATTAAAAACAAAATTCTCTTCAGAAAAGATCCCAGATGAAAGAGGCCATATTTCATAATTTATATAGAAACAAGTGAAATGGAAAAATAACGTCACCCAAAGCACTGACCCAATCCACTATGCAGGCCTATCTTAATCTCTTAAGTTACTTTCCCCCTATTTGTCCTATATCCTGTGATATTGTTAAGGAAAGAATTAGTAGGGAGCTTCATTTCACTATGGTCTCTTGCAGCTTTCCCACAAAAGAAATCCTGATAGAGAAATACAATTTATGGGGTAAGAAATGTGCTAGCTGTGTAATGTAGCTTTAAGAAAAATCCCTTTAACCCATTCTCCAATTACTTTGTCACCTCTGGGTTCCTCTAACAGAAAATTCTGGAGCTCTACTATTACTCAACAGTATGACTATGTTGAAGTTTCTTTCAGTCTCCTCACTGTGTATATTCTACCATCTTTATATATGTGCACATGGTGTTTCCATAAGCTGGAAGGACTTCTGACAGCTTTTACCTTTTCTAGGAAAGCTTTCTTACCACCTATGATGAGGATACTCCTTCTGTGTGCTGTCACAGGATTCTTCCTTACCTCGCTCACAGAAGCCTTCATTCATTTATTCAACACAGACTATGCTATATAGACTATGATAGATAATAAAGATTCTATTGTGCAATCTTGACTTTCAGAAGGCTTATAGTAATTATTTCATATTTTAAGAAACAAGTCATTCCTGTTCTGTATAATATACTTCAATATGTTTCATTGTGAAAGCAATTATCAAACAAAATCTTTCTCAGTATTCCAAGCTTTCAAAGACAGACTGAGGGGTCCAGCAGGTGGCATGGTGTGGTTAAGGTGCTGGACTCCCACATGGCCAACCACGGTTTGAGTTCCAGACCTGGCAGCTTGATTTTTCACTTTCTCTCTCTGTTTCTCTCTGGTGATCACACGTGCCCTATAGCAAATTAAAATGATAATAATAAGGAAATTTAAAAAAATTATTTTAAAAAAGACTGAAATAATGGATCAAACTTATTTATGAGTGTATATGCAAAAGTCATAAATATATCCAAACTGTGTTCTAAAGTGACATGATTTACTTCATGAATTGATAAAATTTTAAAATAATATTAAAAAATCTATCAATGTAATATACTAAACAAATAGGCAAAAGCAAAACAAAATGAATGGTCACCTAACAAGATGTCAAAGAATATGGTGAAATACAGCATTTATTCTTGTTAAAACCTGTTAGTAATCTAGATGCAGAAGGATACATATTTAAGATGACCCCTCTCAAATTATTGGGCAGCATAATTTAAAACAGCAAAACTCCAAAAGTGTTTCCTCTAAAGTTGTTAGCATTATTTTACTTTTACTAGAATGATGCAATCAATAAAGTAGAATGAGATAATTAAATGGCATTGCATGCCTTACAATATTTCAAGTTCAGCCATGATTTCAACAGTTGGTACAATATTTTCTTTTTGGTCTGGTTGCTGGAATTCTGGTTGTTGATGAAGATCATGACATATGCATGAGAAAACATATCCTCATATGTTTTAAAATAAAATTTTAATCTTGGAGAAGAGTAAAGGAAAAGGAAAATGCTGTGTATATTGCATTAAAAAGGATGTTTTATAGCAATATAAATGATAACTATATATAGGCATTGGAAAAGTCACGACATATTTTTCTGTTTTTCTATGCAAAAATATGTCATGACCCAATATATTTACTATTCTGACTTCAAGAAATCATCTTTACAAATGTATCCACCCTAGCCAGACACAGTCCTAACTCTTGGGATAGGATTCTAGACCCCACCATTTAGAATGTGGTCAAGGTGATCAGTGTCAGTAGAAGTGTAAGGCACTCAACTCTATCACATAGTAGAAGATAAGGCAGAAGAAATAATCTATGGTGGGAAGTGAAGAGGGGAATGATAGCAATTATTATCACCTTGGCCTCATTGCTGCCAGTGAGGTGAAGTTTCAGTTTCTTGGCTCTCTGTTTTTTGTCTGTCTCCAAAGAGTTGGTCTTCAGTATGATGTTCATCATTAGTCATCATCTGTAGAAGAAAAGCAAACTTTGCTTGAGGACTATGGCTAATGAAATATTTACCCTTCTTTCCAAGTTTATCAATAGGAGAGAGTAGTAGCTTGTAAAAGAACAATTTCTTACTCAGACTCCCTGAATTTAACCCAAGGAACCTCTTGGAGCAGAATGTACTTTACTTCCCCCAGAAGGTAATTGAATGCACTAAGGTATTGTATCCTAGTTTCTGCTTTAGCTAGTTTCTCCTACTGTTTATAAAACAACAATTCTTCACAATAACTAACATCCTTGGTGCTAGATCTCCAGTGTTTGTCCAATAAATAAGCTCCTGAGTCCCAAAGGAGCTAGTAACGAGCAATAGTGCTCTAGTTAGAGAAGGGCCACTTTTCTTCTTAGACAATTTGGAGAATTATTCTGGGTTCACTCATTTAAATTTCTTTTTGGTAATGAGCATATTTTGTTGCTGGGAGCTTCAGCAAGCTATGGGCTCACTCTTGGAATTGATTCACCTATCTGTCCTTAGGTCGTGTCTGTCCATCTTTAGGGCTATCCCAGAATGCAACAGCCCTGTGTCTCTGGAAACTTACTGTGCCCCAGGCCATGTACATCTATGTCCCCCTCTTTCTTATAAGTTTGTTGGAAGGATTAACATAACATACCTGAAACTTTTTGGCACAGATTGAGTGCACATTATACATTAGCTTAGTTTGAATCCCTAGGCAGATAGTCCTTCATTTCCCGTGATAAGTTCTTTATTTAAAATACTGTGCATATATATGCACATCTATATGGATTATCATCTTGTCCACTTACAATAGATAGCATGGCTTATTGGTACTTCAATTTTCCAATAAGGAAAACATTCTCCTTTCTTTACCATCATGTTTCACTAACTTCTTATGTCCACATACTGAAGTCACCATAGCTGCTCCTCCATAATCAATTGACTTAATTCTCTTTGAGCTATAGCCATGTTCTAGAAGCCACAGTTAAATATTCAACAAATCACATATAACTATTAGTAGGGGTATGGGAGAGATAGACAATAAAGCTCTTAGCAGTAACAGAAAGCCATGTCATAAGTTTGTACCTAGTAATAAATCAGTGTGTGACATAAGTGCTTTTCTTCCACTGAACCCTAATAGTTCCAAAGGACCCCCTGGTGGCTCTGATAGCTAATTTAAAAATCCCTTACATTTTTCTAAGAGAACCTGTTAATCCCAGAAGTCATTTAAAGTTGAATTTTTAATTAATATAGAAGGTGGTAACTTTTAGGTACTTTTGGGATGGTGTCTCAAAGACCTGATTATATTTAAATTATTAAACAGTAACTTTCTTACTTTTCTGAGTTATTAGTTCCTTGATTTTATAAATAATACATATCAGAGTAGAAAATTTGAAAAATTTACACAAACCTCAAGGAAGAGATGAACGTAATTCATAGTTACAGATATAATTATCAATATTTTGATATATTTCTATGCATATACTATACTTACATACTTGAGAGTACCCTGAATTTCTTGATTCATTATGCGCTTTTTATAACTAACAATATGTTACATGTATTTCTCCATATTATTTTTAAGGCATTTTTAAAAAAGAGTTTCATAAAAGTTTTACATAAGGAAAAAAAAACAAGTGGAAATGAAACCATCTTCTGCTAGTTTCTTAGCAATTCTTCACCTTTGTGATAAGAACACTTATGAAGACATTTAAAAGAATACTTTGCCTTGGATTTTTAGTTGTTATCTGTAGAAATGTTGGTTCAAATGTTGTTGTTATTGCAACTTTCTATTTCGTATTTTATTATTTCTGCATCTACATATTAATAAAACAAGCCAAAAAACTTTATTGTATTTTCTTTATCAAGGTATTAAATGAAAATAACTGGAGGGAACCAGTGGGTGGCATAATGATTAAGATGTTGGACTCCCACATGGCTGACCACAGTTCAGTCCTGGACACAGACACTTCAAAATCATGCAAGATGCATGTGCATGTGTGCCCAAAATCCTGAGGAGAATGGAAGAGGGATTTGAAGCATAGCCATCCTCCCTGGAAGGGGAGTGCTTTTTCATTTTTCCTCTCTCTGTCTCTCTGGCCAGTACATGCATTCTATGGCAAAAAAATAAAGCAAAACAAAACAAACATAAAACTAAAACACACACACACACACACACACACACACACACACAAAACTGGATTGTACAGGTTACCTATAGTTTTTTGCTAAATAACTTGTATTCTACTTGAGTAGATGAGGACTGTCTATTCCTTGGTAAACTCATATGTAAAGCTGCCTAGCCTTCAGAACTACTGAATTTCAACTAAAGTTTGCAAAAATAAAAATTTATCTTTTCCCATCTAAGTTACTAGGTCATTTGAATTCTATTCATAAATGACCTTTGGGGTTAAGAGCTATTGTTCATGAGACTATACCTAGGAGAAGAATTGCTGTGTTAGTTATTTTCATCTTTTTAAGTCTTAGAAAATTTTTAAAGGTTCCCCCCCTCCCCCTTTTACTCATCCATGTGAAATTTAGGATCAACTTGTCAATATCCAAAGAAAGGGGAAAAATCTCATGCTCTTAGACTTGAAAAACTGTTTTTGCTATAGTGCCTGTGTGTTTGCTGGGGAGGGGGAAAAGAGAGAGAGAGAGAGAGAGACAGGGGAAAAGTGATAAATCACTCCTCAGGGAGGATATCCACACCAATCCCTTCTCCACTGTCCTCTTGGAATTTTGGGCATGGACACACACATGCCTGTGTCTTTTTTAAGCCACTGAGTGTAGGACTCAGACTATGCAGTTAACTCTGTGGGATCTAGCCACCTTACATTCTGTGTCACCTATTGGCTCCCCTTAGACTTTTGATAGAAATTGTATTGAATTTAGAGGAAACATTAGGGGTAATGAATATATTTCTGAATTTTCTAATTACGTGTAAAATATTGATCTCCATTTACTTACATTTCCTTTTTTTGTTCTTTAATCAAGATTTATAATTTTCTCATAAAGTACTTGTGCTCTTTTTATCAGATTTATTCATAGGCATTTGATATATATTAATATGTTGCTATCGTGAGTGAAATTCTTTTAAAAATACATATTTAACTACCTGTGATTGATCCAAGGTATACTGTTGAGTTTTAATCTTGATCTTTAATTCAGCTACCATTATTAATGTAGGTAGTTTGTTTTTAACTTTTCTATATTTTTATGTAGACAATTGTATAATCTGGGATAACGATCATTTCTTCCTTTGCAATTCTCATAGCTCTTTTTAAAATTGAACTCTATTCAATGTTGTAAGAAGGGGTAAAACCAGTTATTTTGATCTCATTTTGAATATTGAAATATATTTTGAGGTGTTTTTATTACTGTTTTCTAATTATATTGCACTGTGACTAGAAATTGTGTTGAGTGATATGTTTAATATTGGGTTGTCAGAAAAATCATGATGCATTTTTGTGTAGAAAAACATAGAAAAATACATCATGACTTTTTTGATGATTCAGTATTTACTAAGCCTTATTTTCTGGCCAAAGAGTGCCCGATTTTATAAATATACTTTCCCTGGTGTTTGGATGTAAAATTAGATAGATATTATATACTGTATACATTTCATATAATATAGTATGTATTTTACTATAGACATATTTATATCTTTTAATTAAACATGTTAACAGTAGCATTTGCATCTTCTATTTTCATACCTATATTTTCATACCTTCTTTACCTATGAGGTCCATATTAAAATCACCTACTTTAGGGACCAGCAGTTGGTGTAATGGCTATGTCGCTGGACCCCCATGTAGTCGACCACGGTTTGCGTCCCGGACCTGGTGGGTTAAAACTCACGCCAGGCATGTGTGCGTGCGTGCCCAAGATCCCAAGAGGAGAGTGGAGGAGAAGGGATTGTGGCATGGCCATCCCCCCTGGGGGGTGATTTCTCGCTTTCTGTATCTCTGTCTCTCTCTGTCTGTCTGGCGAGTGCACGTGCCCTATAGCAAAAACTTCTCCAAAAAAAAAAAATCACCTACTTTATTTTGAATTTGAGACTAGAAATTTTGAAGACTTTTATTTTGAAGCTGTGTTGCCCATGAGTAAGTTCATTTTTTCCTTTTGATCTTTCTACTGTGATGACTCTGGCTTCAAGGTCTGCCTTATCTATACTAAATACTCAGGATTACCCATGTGGATCTGGCTCTCACTGCATAGTCCTTAACCACTGCACTACAGGGGCGGTGCTCCCTGGTATATGCTTTCTTTAGATGTTTTTCTTCTTCGTTTGTTTCTCTTATTTTGTACAAAATATGTGGCTGGATTTAAAAAAATCAATTCAAGAATCTTTGTCTTTCAGTTGGTATGTTTAACCTAGTTACATCTCTTGTGATGAATATAGATACGCTTGATATATTCCTTTTATTATTATTATTTTTTGTTTTAGTGTTTCTATCTGCTGTGCTCCTTTGTTACTTTTTATTTGTTTTTCAGTTTTCCTGATATAATTATTGATGAAGTTGTCTCTGTTTTTCTGACTTGTTTGAAAATTTAGGATTCTATTCTGCTTGCTTTTGTATTAACTCTTAGTTTTTTAAGATGCTTGCTTAACAAAGCAAAGTCGAAACCTAATCATAGTATAGAGAAGTCTAAACCTACGTAATACCAGTATAGTCTTCCTGAACAATATAGGAATCTCGCATTGGTATTATGCGAGATTATCTCTGATTATTAACCTTTCTCATCATCATTTATGTATTTCAATTCTAGAACTTTATTTTTAAAACCTTGTTTTTGGGAACCAGCAGTTAGCGTAATGGCTATGTCGCTGGATTCCCACATAGTCAACTGCGGTTCGCATTCTGGACCCGGTGGCTTAGAATTCACGCCGGGTGCGTGTGCGTGCGTGCCCAAGATCCCGAGAGGAGAATGTAGAAGGGATTGCGGCGTGACCATCTTGCCTGGGGGGTGATTTCTCGCTTTCTGTCTCTCTGTCTCTCTCTGTCTGT